GACCCATACGTCCCATATAGGTGATCCAACCATGCAACCTATAAGTGCCCATAAGGGGACCCGACCAGAATTACCCATCCGTGCTGTCCCACCTTAAATTTGTTCCCCCTTTTGGTCCACCTATTTTAAAGTTCCCACCCATGATCTACCACCTGTAGAGGAAAACCATCCATACGGTACCACCTGTAAGATGATACCCAGTACTGGTACCCCCCTTTTGAGTTTTTATAGGGGGTTTACCCCATAGGATAATTAACCCGGGACTAAAACCATAAAAAAAGGTGATAGGAATACAAAATTTAAGTGATTTTTAAATGACGGTACCACCCTGTAGAGTAACCCCGGACTTTACCCACCTGGAGGTGATATCCAGTCTTCCACCTAGAAGTACCCCCAAAGTGTGTAAACCTAGTATGCCCATCCCGGACAACCAAAACCTGTAAAGACCTCCCTGACGACCACCTGAAAGAGTATCACCATGCTGTACCACCATAAAGTGAACTCCAGTGCTGGTACCCCTTTGGGGACCCACCATTACGGGGTAACCAATAGAGTTTTCCCCCTATTCCCCCTTAAAAAGATGACCCAGTGCTGGTACACCTTTTGGTATCCTTCATATTTAAAATTTAGTAAATGCCATTTCCAGTATTTCCCCACCATAGATATCACCCAGTTTTTTGGAACACCTATAAGGATCCATTAGTCCGGGTAACCTATAAGTATTCCCCCATATGTCCCATGAAAAGGATTTCCCTGATGGCCATAGAAAAGTATTTCAGGACTGGAAAAAAGGGGACCTTCCGTGACGGGACCAAACCTAAAAGTATCCCCCCCAGGACTGGAACCCCCGAAAATCCTTCTGACCGACCACCAATAGAATGATACCCTGGAAAAACCAAACAGAGATGATCCACAAATTTGGGGACCATTTTTAAGGGGGATCCCCAAATTAAAAAAACCTATAATATCTTTTCGGGTGATTTGGTCCTTTTAAACCAAAGTAAATATCCATCCAGGCCTGAACCCCTAGAGAGTGATCCACCTTTCCCGGGTACCACCTAGAAAGTGGAAACCAAGGCCCCAAAAAACCCCCAAAGTAAGGGAGGTTTTTCCACCCCAAGGATTGTCCACCTTAAAGGAACTTTTAAAAGGACGGTCCCCCTAGAGATGTCCACCAGACGGCCACCAGAAAGGATCCTCCAGTGACGACCACATAAAGGACCTTCATACTGTACCCCTTAAAATGCCCTTCAGACTGGTAAAAAACCGGGGAAGGATATCCCTATTAAAAACCTAGTAAAGGGACCCCCAAATTACTTCCACCTAGTAAATCCCCTCCGGGGTTTAAAAATAAAGTATTTTTCTTTTATTTTAACCAAAGTTGGGGATATTTATGGTAATAAAATTTTATTCCCCCTGATGGACCCTTTAAAAATAAAACCCAAACCCATGACTCTCCACCTTGTAGAGTATTCACCCCGTCGGGTAACCCCTATAAAGTGATCCTTCCGTGACGGGTATCACCATAAAGTGATCCTTCCAGTGACTGGTCCCACCTAGAAGAGTGATCCATCCATGACTGGTACCACCTAGTAAGTGATCCACCCAGTGACGGGTAACCCCCTAGAAAAAGTGGTCCCTTCCAGTGACAGCCCCACCTATAAAGTATCATCCAGTGACGGGGTACCATATTTGAGTGACCCACCATGACTGGTACCAAAACCTGTAAGTGTTCACCAATTCCCCCCCCCCCGGGTCCACCCTAGTAGAGTGATCCACCCCGTGACGGAACCCCCCAGTAATGATCCTTCCAGTGACTTACAACCAAGTAGAATGATCCACCCATGACTCGTCCCAAACCTAGTGAGTGATCCACCCTGTGATGGTACCCCCCTAGTAAGTGACCCCTCTAGTGACGGTACCCCCAGAGAGTGATTCACCCATGACGGGTACAACCTATAGAGTGACCCATCCAGTGGGTACCCCCCATAAGGATCCATCAGTGACTGGTCCCACCTAGTAGAGTGTCCATCAAGTGTGGTACCACCTATAGGTGATCCCCTTGACTCTCCCACCTATAGAGTATCCATCCAGTGACGGTACCACCTGTAAGTGACCATCCTGACTGGTACCAACCTTAGCAGAGGACCATCCAGTGACTGGTAAAACCGTAGAGTGATCCACCCGTGACTGGTCCCCAAACCTAGTAGGTGATCCACCCAGTGACGGTACCACCTCGTAAGTGATCCATCCAGTGACGGGTACCACCTTTGAGTAAATCATCCAGTGACGGGGTACCCCTAAGGTATCCACCCAGTGGTGGTACCACCTAGTAGGTGACCTCCAGTGACTGGTACCCCTAAAAGAGTGCCATCATTGACTGGTCCACCAAAAAAAGTGATCCACTCCAGTGCCTCCACCTAAATAGGTGATCCTCCAGTTGGACCCCAAAGTAAAGGAACTTCCAGTGACGGGTACCACCTGTTGGTAAACCATGCAGTGACTGGTACCAACCTAGTAAGTGATTCCCCCCAGTCGGTACCCCCTAGAGAGTGAATCCACCCCCGTACTGACCCCCCAGTAGAGTTTTCCCAGTGCTGGTACCCCTAGAAAGGGGGTCCACCATGACTGGTACCACCTATAAGTGATCCATCCAGGGCTGAACCCCATTTTAAAGAGTAAACCATCCAGTACGTACCCCCTAGAAGGATCCACCGTGACGGGTACCCCTAGAAAAATAAACCTCCATGACTGGTCCCACCTAGTAGGTGATCCATCCGGACGGTACCACCTAGTAAAGTATACTTTCCCGTGGCGGTACCAACCTAGTTGAGTGATCCATCCAGTGACGGGTACCCCTAGTAGATAAATTCCCCCGTGATGGTACCACCTATAAGTGATCCACCCGTGATGGTCCCCACCCGTAATGATCCTCCAGTGACTGGACCCCCATTTAGAAGGCCCATCCAGTGACCGTACCACCTAGAGGGATCACCCTGTGGGTACCCCCCATAGATGTGATCCATCTAGTACTGGACCACCTAGTGAGGTTTTCACCCAGTGACGGGGTACCACCTGTAAAGTGATCCCCCAGTGACTGGAAAACCACCTGTAAATGACCCTTCCATGACGGTACCACCTAGAAGATGACCAAAACCCAGTGACGGTACCCCCCAGTAAAGTGATCCACCCATACGGGTACCACCTATAAAAGTGGCCTTCCAGTGACAGTACCACCTAGTAAAGTGATCCTCCAGTGACTGTACCCCCAAATTTGATGACCCCTCCAGTGACTGGTAAAACCTAGTAGAGTGATTCACCCATGAGGGTACCCACCTAAAGTAAAACCACCCCGGACTGGTATCCCCTAGTAGAGTGACCCTTTCCAGTGGGGTACCCCCTAGTAGAATGACCCATCATGATCGTACCCCTAAAGAGGATTCACCCTGTGACGGGTCCCACCTATAGAGTGATCCATCTAGTGACGGGTCCCCACCAGAAGTGATTCCCCCAGACTGGTACCATTTAAGAGTGACCCCCCAGTGTGGTACCACCTAGTAGAATGACCATCCAGTGACTCTACCACCTAGTAGAGTGTCCACCGTGTGACTGGTACCACCTATAGAGTGATCCATCCAGTTGGGACCCCTATAAGTGACCCACCCAGTGATGGTCCCACCAGTAAAGGATCCTTCCAGTGAACTGGTACCACCTAGTAGAGTACCCCACCCATGACGGTCCCACCTAGTAAAGTATCCACCAGGACGGTACCACCTGAAAAAGTGATCCTTCCAGTGACTGGTACCCCCTAGAAATGTCCCCAGTGACTGGTCCCCACCATAGAGTGTCCCCGGACTGGACCCCCTAGTAAGTATCCCCATTGACGTACCACCGGTGAGTGACCCATCCATTGACGGTACCACCTATAAACCCCGATCCATCCATTGACTGTTAGTGAAAATAAGTAAGGGAACCCCCTAAAAAGATAAAGAACGGGGAAAAACCCCCTGAAAAGGTTTAGAAAACGGAATGAAAAAAATTTAAGAACGTACCACCTGTAGAAAGATCCCCCCAGTAACGGGTACCACCTAGAAAGATCCACCTAGTAACTGGTACCACCTAGTAGAAAGATCCACCTAGTAACTGGTACTACCTAGTAAAAGATCCACCTAGTAACTGGTAACCCACCTAGTAAAAGATCCACCTAGTAACTGGTACCACCTAGTAGAAAGATCCACCTAGTAACTGGTACCATCTAGTAGAAAGATCCACCTAGTAACTGGTACTACCTAGTAGAAAGATCCACCTAGTAACTGGTACCACACCTAGTAGAAAAGATCCACCTAGTAACTGGTACCACCTAGTAGAAAGATCCACCTAGTAACTGGTACCACCTAGTAGAAAGATCCACCTAGTAACTGGTACCACCTAGTAGAAAGATCCACCTAGTAACTGGTACCACCTAGTAGAAAGATCCACCTAGTAACTGGTACCACCTAGTAGAAAGATCCACCTAGTAACTGGTACCACCTAGTAGAAAGATCCACCTAGTAACTGGTACCACCTAGAAAGATCCACCTAGTAACTGGTACCACCTAGTAGAAAGATCCACCTAGTAACTGGTACCACCTAGAAAGATCCACCTAGTAACTGGTACCAACCTAGAAAGAAAGATCCACCTAGTAACTGGTACCACCTAGTAGAAAGATCCACCTAGTAACTGGTACCACCTAGTAGAAAGATCCACCTAGTAACTGGTACCACCTAGAAAGATCCACCTAGTAACTGGTACCACCTAGTAGAAAGATCCACCTAGTAACTGGTACCACCTAGTAGAGAAGTTTAACACATATAGAAATTATTAGTCTTATGAACAATCCTGACAGACACGCAGGAACAACATACAATAACAAAATTTCACTAATTAGAATATTCTCTCGAGAGTATTAACATTAATCAGTAAGTGTTGTTTGCTATCTGATTCTTCCTTGCGCCGGCAGCCTGGGCCAGCAAGTTTATCTTCTGGGCGGGTGGTCAACGCATCGGCTCAGGTCCCTGGACGTGGACCAACGGTAGGCCGGTCAGCCTCAAGTCTCACGTGTAAGTATCAGAGTCTGGAGTTGAGGATAGTGGCACTGAAGATAATCATGATGATAATAAAAATACTACTACTACTACTACTACTACTAGTAATAATAATAATAATAATAATAATTTAATAATAATAATAATATTATTATTATTATTATTATTATTATTATTATTATTATTATTATTAACTATAATAAAAATACTATAAGAATAACAATAATCACAATAATAATAATAATAATAATAATAATAATAATAATAATAATAATAATAATATTATTATTATTATTATTATTATTATTATTATTACTAATTATATTATTATTATTATTATTATTTTATTATTATTATTAATTTTGATTAACTATAATAAAAATAACTGTAATAATAACATTAATCACAATAATAATAATAATAATAATAATAATAATAATAATAATAACAGGAACAATAATTATAATAATAATAACGTAACAAAAGTAACAAAACAAATAATAATGAAATCGAAAGATTATCAGAATTTTTTCATTGTATAGAACAACTAGACATCAACGCATCACTTTAGAACATCAACATCAAAGCATCAACTGAAACTAAATTAACCTAAATATATCAGTGTAACACATTAATTCATCTGTCGTCTGCTGTACGGGCGCTTCAGGTGGACTCCCAGCAGACCAGAGAAGACGACAGACAACCGTTACACAATGGTCGTCCCCGTTGACGAGGTCTACAATAGACGCTACCTACTTGACTACAGGGAAGACCAGGCTGCCCCGGCTTTTATCTGTGAGAAGTGAGGGAGAGAGTTTAGAGAATAAGGGGGGAGGGAAGAGGAAGGGAGAGAGAGAGAGAGAGAGAGAAGAGTAAGAGTGATGAACAAAGAATGAGGTAGTAGGAGATAACTTGTTACTGAAGAGATTGTTCACTTGAAGTGAGGTACTGTATTACTCTCTCAATCATATCTGCCCAATATGAGAGGGAAAACGAATGCAAACACATGAAAACAAGTTTACACTAACAAGAAACCTAACAACCGTCCTCTCCCCGGAATGAGAACCAAAACTCATCAGAATTACCTAACACAAAAAACTATCACGCTGGAGTCATCAGGGTACTGAGGAATGAAGGTAAACAGATCAACACTTCGGCACAGGGGATCGAAGATATAGCTGGGGGAGGAATTAGCGTTAAGAGTTGGGCTCTAATGACATTAAGGTAAGCAAAGAGCCCGGTGCATAAGGTGTCTTGTTCCAGCGCTTAGTTGATGTCATCCAGGTGTGTAATGCTTCCTGAGAAGAGAGACAGAGAGAGAATGGTGAAATCATATTACAATAGTCATTTTAGTTTTCTGCTGTCAGAATTTGATTCGTTTCTTTGAGCTGTGTGTCATTTTTCCTGTTCTTAAACCATGCCATCGTACCACATGGACATACGCTTGATTCTTTGCTTAAAAGATATTCATGCTACAGAAGAAAGTGCTCAGAAATTTGGTCAGGCGAGACATATAAGTCTCCGTACACATGGCACTCTGTTAATGTTTCACCTGCACACAAAATCAGGCACTAAATTTTAAGGCAACGTAGTCTAAATAAAATTTACTCAGTTATAAGTGTCTTTGTACTGGTATACAGTAAATAAGTCCTTGTTATAGATGGAATCCTGGGCTTGTCTCCTTACACCTCCTGTCAATGCTCACCACATATTTGGGCATCATCCTGGCCGTGTGACACGTCACGCATATCCCTGACCTGTTATCCAAAATAACAAACGGCACGAAACGTGCTGGAAATCACACAAATAACCCGCACATAAAAAAAAGAAGCTTACACGTACGTTTTCGCGTCCGACTTGGACCATTACAAAGTACATCGGCGTCGTAAGCTTCTCTCTTTTAATGTCGGGTTAAATTTGTGATATACTTGTTTCCATGTTCATCTAAGTAAATTGGGTCACGAGAGTTAGTCTTGTGTAGGTCGACGATACCTGGAGAGGTATGTAGGTACCCTGGGGACGGCATTGACTGAAATGACTGAGTGAAAAACAGTTCTTATTCTTATTTTTGAGCTGAGAAAAGATTACATTTTAATAACCTCAAATAGCTGAAATAAGTATAACATCTTTTAGCTGAAAAGAAAACTAACCGTATAATGAAATAAAACACATAGATATAGCTGTGAATGAGCTGAAACAGCTCTTAGCTCTAAACATTGAGCTAAGATACAGCTCTACCTGCTGAACGAGGGACTTAGATAACAGCTCTTACCTGCTGAACGAGGCAGTCTAGATAACACTCTTACCTCTAAACGAGGCGACTAGATAACAGCTCTTACCTGCTGAACGAAGGCAGCTTAGATAACACCCTCTACCTGCTTGAACGAGGCGACTTTAGATACGAGCTTTACCTCTGACAAGAGGCAGCTTCAGATAACAGCTCTACCTTCTAAACGAGGCGAGCTTAGGTAACTACTCTTACCTGCTGAACTAGGCGAGTTTAGATAACAGCTCTTACCTGCTGATGTGGCGGCTAGATAACAGCTCTACCTGCTGAACGAGGCGAGCTAGATACAGCTCTTGGACCTGACAGAACTGAGCGAGCTTGAAAAACAGCTCTTACTGCTGAACGAGGCGAGTTAGATTAACAGCTCTACCTGCTAACGAGGCGAAATTAGATAACAGCTCTTACCTGCTGAACGAGCGAGCTTAGAAACTCTTACCGTACTGAACGAGGTCGAGCTTAGATAACTAGCTCTTACCTGCTAAACGAGCAGCTAGATAACAGCTCTTACCTGCTAAACGAGGTCGAGCTAAGATAACAGCTCTTACCTGCTGAACGAGGCGAGCTTAGATAATAGCTCTTACCTGCTAAACGAGGCGAGCTTAGATAACAGCTCTTACCTGCTAAACGAGGCGAGCTTAGATAACAGCTCTTACCTGCTGAACGAGGCGAGCTTAGATAACAGCTCTTACCTGCTGAACGAGGCGAGCTTAGATAACAGCTCTTACCTGCTAAACGAGGCAAGCTTAGATAACAGCTCTTACCTGCTAAACGAGGCGAGCTTAGATAACAGCTCTTACCTGCTGAACGAGGCGAGCTTAGATAACAGCTCTTACCTGCTAAACGAGGCAAGCTTAGATAACAGCTCTTACCTGCTAAACAGGCGAGCTTAGATAACACTCTTACCTGCTAAACGAGCTGAGCTTAGATAACAGCTCTTACCTCTGAACGAGAGCGAGCTTAGATAACAGCTCTTACCTGCTAAACGAGGCGAGCTTAGATAACAGCTCTTACCTGCTAAACGAGGCGAGCTTAGATAACAGCTCTTAGCTTCTAAACGAACTGAGCTTGGATAACAGCTCTTACCTGCTAAACGAGGCGAGCTTAGATAACAGCTCTTACCTGCTAAACGAGGCGAGCTTATTTAACAGCTCTACCTGCTAAACGAGGCGAGCTTAGATAACAGCTCTTACCTGCTGAACGAGGCGAGCTTAGATAACAGCTCTTACCTGCTAAACGAGGCGAGCTTAGATAACAGCTCTTACCTGTTAAACGAGGCGACCTTAGATAACAGCTCTTAGCTTCTAAACGAACTGAGCTTGGATAACAGCTCTTACCTGCTAAACGAGTTGAGCTAAGATAACAGCTCTTAGCTTCTAAACGAGCTGAGCTTGGATAACAGCTCTAACCTGCTAAACGAGTTGAGCTAAGATAACAGCTCTTAGGTTCTAAACGAGCTGAGCTTGGATAACAGCTCTTACCTGCTAAACGAGTTGAGCTAAGATAACAGCTCTTACCTTCTAAACGAGTTGAGCTCAGATAACAGCTTTTACCTTCTAAACGAGTTGAGCTCAGATAACAGCTCTTACCTTCTAAACGAGTTGAGCTCAGATAACAGCTCTTACCTTCTAAACGAGTTGAGCTCAGATAACAGCTCTTACTTCTAAACGAGCTTGAGTAGATAACAGCTCTTACCTTCTAAACGAGTTGAACTCAGATAACAGCTCTTACCTGCTAAACGAGTTGAGCTCAGATAACAGCTCTTACCTGCTAAACGAGTTGAGTTCAGATAACAGCTCTTACCTTCTAAACGAGTTGAGCTCAGATAACAGCTCTTACCTTCTAAAACGAGTTGAGCTTCAGATAATAGCTCTTACCTTCTAAAACGAGTTGAGCTCAGATAACAGCTTTTTACCTTCTAAACGAGTTGAGCTCAGATAACAGCTCTTACCTTCTAAACGAGTTGAGCTCAGATAACAGCTCTTACCTTCTAAACGAGTTGAGCTCAGATAACAGCTCTTACCTTCTAAACGAGTTGAGCTCAGATAACAGCTCTTACCGTCTAAACGAGTTGAGCTAAGATAACAGCTCTTACCTGCTGAACGAGTTGAGCTTAGATAACAGCTCTTACCTTCTAAACGAGTTGAGCTAAGATAACAACTCTTATCTGCTAAACGAGTTGAGCTCAGATAACAGCTCTTAGCTTCTAAACGAGTTGAGCTAAGATAACAGCTCTTACCTGCTGAACGAGTTGAGCTAAGATAACAGCTCTTACCTGCTAAACGAGTTGAGCTCAGATAACAGCTCTTACCTTCTAAACGAGTTGAGCTCAGATAACAGCTCTTACCTTCTAAACGAGTTGAGCTAAGATAACAGCTCTTAGCCTGCTAGAACGAGTTTGAGCTTAGATAACAGCTCTTACCTGCTTAACGAGTTGAGCTAAGATAACAACTCTTATCTGCTAAACGAGTTGAGCTCAGATAACAGCTCTTAGCTTCTAAACGAGTTGAGCTCAGATAACAGCTCTTAGCTTCTAAACGAGTTGAGCTAAGATAACAGCTCTTACCTGCTGAAACGAGTTGATTCAAGATAACAGCTCTTACCTGCTTAACGAGTTGAGCTAAGATAACAGCTCTACCTTCTAAACGAGTTGAGCTCAGATAACAGCTCTTAGCCTTCTAAACGAGTTGAGGCTCAGATAACAGCTCTTAGCTTCTAAACGAGTTGAGCTCAGATAACAGCTCTTACCTTCTAAACGAGTTGAGCTCAGATAACAGCTCTTACCTTCTAAACGAGTTGAGCTCAGATAACAGCTCTTACCTTCTAAACGAGTTGAGCTCAGATAACAGCTCTTACCTTCTAAACGAGTTGAGCTCAGATAACAGCTCTTACCTTCTAAACGAGTTGAGCTAGATAACAGCTCTTACCTTCTAAACGAGTTGAGCTCAGATAACAGCTCTTACCTTCTAAACGAGTTGAGTCAGATAACAGCTCTTACTTCTAAACGAGTTGAGCTAAGATAACATGCTCTTACCTGCTAAACGAGTTGAGCTCAGATAACAGCTCTTACCTCTAAACGAGTTGAGCTAGATAACAGCTCTTACCTTCTAAACGAGTTGAGCTCAGATAACAGCTCTTACTTCTGAAACGAGTTGAGCTCAGATAACAGCTCTTACCTGCTAAACGAGTTGAGCTCAGATAACAGCTCTTTCCTGCTAAACGAGTTGAGCTCAGATAACAGCTCTTACCTGCTAAACGAGTTGAGCTCAGATAACAGCTCTTACCTGCTAAACGAGTTGAGCTCAGATAACAGCTCTTACCTGCTAAACGAGTTGAGCTCAGATAACAGCTCTTACCTGCTAAACGAGTTGAGCTAAGATAACAGCTCTTACCTGCTGAACGAGTTGAGCTCAGATAACAGCTCTTACCTTTTATATGATCTGTAGCAAGGCAACAGCGTTTTTCCTGTAAATGGAATAAAGCAGGATAAGAGCTTTTTTCCGTAAATAAACAGAGATAACAGCTGCTAGCCCATACACGAGCTGACGCAGGATATCACCTCTGGGTATGACCTGATACAGGGATACATGATTCAGTTTCTTGCTTCCAGAAACGTTCAGGGAGAATCCACGATGTTTCTTTCCGATTTCCAAAAATCTATTGCAACATATAGCAAAATTTATTGCAATAATTTACCAATGTTTTTGCAACAATATAGCAAAAATTATTGCAGCAATATATCAAAATTTATCGCAACAATATAGCAAAATTTATTGCAGTAATATATCAAAATTTATTGCAACAATACAGCAAAAATTATTGCAACAATATAGCAAAATTTATTGCAGCAATATATCAAAATTTATTGCAACAATATAGCAAAATTTATTGCAACAATATAGCAAAATTTATTGCAACAATATAGCAAAATTTATTGCAACAATATAGCAAAATTTATTGCAACAATATAGCAAAATTTATTGCAACAATATAGCAAAATTTATTGCAACAATACAGCAAAATTTATTGCAACAATATATCAAAATTTATTGCAACAATATAGCAAAATTTATTGCAACAATATAGCAAAATTTATTGCAGCAATATATAAAAATTTATTGCAACAATATAGCAACATTTATTGCAACAATATAGCAAAATTTATTGCAACAATACAGCAAAATTTATTGCAACAATATAGCAAAATTGATTGCAACAATATATCAAAATTGATTGCAACAATATAGCAAAATTGATTGCAACAATATATCAAAATTTATTGCAACAATATAGCAAAATTTATTGCAGTAATAT